TTAACCTAAAATGAATCATTGAGGGAATAAAATGAAGACAGGTTACCAGTCCTTCTTTTACACATGTTGCAAGTAAGTGCTCCCTGAAGAGTGTCCCCTCTACAACTGGGCGACTGCTGTTTGTTTTCTTTAGTAAATTTGCCAGAAAAATGAGCGTTCATTCCCCCAAAACTATTTGTGCACACGGGTCACGTTGTTCAACAAATAATTTCAGCTAAACGAAATAGAAGAATTTTTTTGAAAATGTCAAAACATTTCATGTTGATTTATTCCCCGCAAATGAACGATTTTGTTTTGGAAATGCTGACATTTTCAAGATGAAACTGGCTTTTAATTTAAAAGCAGAAACATTATTACAAGCTGGCTTCAATTATAAAAATAATGTGGAAAAGTGGCTACCTGAGGTAGAACCAAATCTCTGTGATACAAAATGAATGTTGGGGGATAGAGGGAGGGTGTTTTTGGCGTCTTCAAAAATCCCTGATCACTTCTGTCCAGGATGGGTGACTGAACTGGAAACACTCCAGTACCTTCCCATCCCTGGTCCTCGCCACGTGCCTGTTCTGCACAGAGTAAGATTCCCCTTCCCACTGAAGTACGTTCACTCGTCCAAAACGCTGTCTCCATCACAGGAGCAGAGCCATATCCATATTTATGGAATCTGTGCAAAGTGAGATGCACAAGGCAGAAATGCAGATCACCCAAGACCCGTAACTTTAGGGGGGACGTCGGCAGCTGGGGGAGGTATGTATGCTAGTTGGGAAGCCACAGGGAGGCTTTTACCAGCTGGGGGGAATAATTCAGTCTGATTAGTAGTTCTTCCCTTCACTCAACTCCAAGCAAGGTCAAAAGTCCTGCAGGCCTAGTGGCCCAATGGGCTAGAATGGTTCTGGACCCAGGAGTAGATATCAGGAGGCATTACTTTATGGTGAGGGCTGCCAGGTTCTGGAATGGGCTCCCAAGGGAGGTGGTGCTCTCCCCTCTTTTGGGGGTCTTCAAGAGGACGTTGGATAGATATCTGGCTGGGGTATTATGATCCCAGCACTCGTTCCTGCCCAGGCCAGGGGGTCAGACTGGATGATCTGTTCAGGTCCCTTCCAACCCTAGAAACTATGAGTAGAGAGGGGCAGGTAGCTAGAATCATGTCAGACCGCCTTTTCTCCCAAGCCCAAATGATGACATGCCCAGTTACACTAGGAGTGACCTTTGGCCAAGTGAAGCTCAAATTCATGTCTCTACGGACCTTTGTGTGGCTCACCTCCAAATGTGTATGCCTGACTCTACATAGAAATGTAACTAAAAATTTAAATAGATGCATTACTCCTACCACAGATTTCCAGCCCATTTTTTTCTGTGTAATGAAAGCTCAATTACCCAAACTAATTAGGACCAAAGGGCTTTGAAAGAAAGAGAGGGAGATGTGTTTGCTTAGATAACCACCAGGCTCCAAGTAAGAGGGTATGGGAATAAAATGTGAAAACATGTAGTTTTTTCCATTTCAATTTTCCATTTAAGTACTTGTAAAATGTAGGCAGCAAGTCACAGGAAACTGGTCCCCTGGGAGCACTTGGATAAGTGAGCAGTTTGGTTAACTGAGGTTTGGGTAATCACGGTTGTACGCTATCTGCAGCAAGCCATGCTGGTATTCCCACTGGCAATACAGGGTTAGCCATGGAATAGTGATGAGGAAAAGCCCAGTCGAGAGGATTTTGCACATATTGCAGCTAATCCTTGCAGGAATAATTTCCTCCTGTTTTATTTTGCAAATGGTTCTCTATTTTCCTTTCCTCATTAGGGCTTTTAAATGAAGCGTGGCAGTCTCAGAATACTCCTTTTCATTTCTGTTACTGGCAGCCACCAAGTAGCACAGCTGAGCCAGTTGCCCATTGTGAAGGGGAGGGAAGGGGACCATGAATAAAAATGGAAGGATTTGCTTAACTTGGGGTGCATGCATTATCCAGACAATACACATTCTGAGTTTCTGGTATTCATCAAAGTGAGGAGAAAATGCACAATTGTTTTGGACAATCTGAAACCTGCTTTGTTAGAAAAAAAATCAGTATTTAGGAATTATCAAGAGAAACAGTAGGAAAAGGAAGTATTTTCAAAACAACTGTTCGATATAGGATGCCCTTTTCCAACTGAAGATTTATTTGAAAAGTTTAAAACGGAGTTTGCAAAAGAAAAAACTTACGGTTTGTAAGACTTCTTATAGAGAGAAGGAATTATACTGGAATAGATTGATGTGCTGTACAAGCAGCAAAGACACCATGAAACACCTGCACATGAATGCCCAACTTCTCACATCACATTTGGGAGTGTAGATAAACCAAACAATGCTTTTATGTGTCTGCCACCTTTAAACTGGCGCTCGGCGCAGATACTTAGTGACAAACTGATTTTCTTTCCATAGAACTAATGCTAGATTCCCATCAGTGAGCAGATTACTCTGTTTTCTTCTGTGACTTTAAAGTAATTTTCAGTCCTACATCTAACATATAGTGCCATCAAACCCTCATACTCTTTGTACCAAGATGTCCTTTCAACTGCTGTAATTTCAGAGGTTTAAGTCATTTTCAAACAAGTGTCTGGGGCTAATGCTTCTCACAGTTTAAACCTACCATAAAAATGAAGCACAGCTTCTGGATCTGTGAAATGTGCATTCCCGTACATCATAATGGATATGACTTTATTGATTTCATACCTGCGCATCCATTAAGAGGTGTCTCATCAGCGACATGGAATTTTTCAGAGACTCTTTTTCGCTGGGCAGAAAAGCATCTTCATCCTCATCCAGCGTTTTTGACTTGTTCACGATAAAGTGAGAGATCTGGTCGTTTAAGGTATGCAATGACTGCACAGCTGTGGGGAAAGAAAGGGAGAGCGATGAACAATGAAACTATGCTAGAGGGGTTGCTGGAATCATTTCCAAAGGGCAAGGAGCTATTGCTGTATTCTTTATCCACAGAACAACCCTGGCATGAGCAGCAACAGTGCAAGCTTTCCTCGCTCTACTCCTGCCAATGTGCCTCAACCCTGACCTGGAGGGACCCCTTGAAAAGCAGCAGGAAAAGGAGGTCCATCTCCATTCATGCCTTGGCTTTTCTGCTGACAGAGCAACAAAGGTGTGCACCACAGTGGTAGCTTTTGAGATGTCATCGCTTGATTGGGAACTCGAGTGACAACTGGTAGGTGGCATAAGCCTCCAGTCCAAACCTCAGAGCACTAGTTTGTGCTCTCTACTCTACCTGAGCTTCATGTAACCTGAGAGTCTACCCATTCAATTCTTACTTCTCTATCAAGAACCCAGGTGCAATCCCATTTCCTCATATGAACGGCATTTGCAACACCAGTTTATTCTTTTTTTTTTTAAAGAAGTATTACATAGTAAGTATTTGGATTAGGAACCAGTAGACGTCCCGCTGTTGGTAAGGTTCATTATGAATATTTATGGCTCTATAAGTATTAGGGATTTAGACCGATCACAGAGCTGGGCAACATAACATACAGGTTAGGAATGACTTATTTTAAGGGTCAACGTTTTGTGACGGGTGGAAAAATATTATTTTTTGCATTTTATCATCATCCCGTGGCTCCAACAGACTGAAGCGTTGTACCTCTGTCTCAATTCCAAAAAAGCTTACGGATTCAAGACGACAAAAGGCAGGAGGAAAAACAGAGGCAGAGCACAGAAGTGAATGAGAGACTTGTTAAAGGTCACACAGCAACACTGGGATTTATAACTCAGGCCTCTTGCCCCCTTCATATGCTCAACAACTGCCTCAAATAAGACAAAGAAGGAAATGAAGTTTGTGTCAGGGAAAGGCTAGAGAAACCCACTAATTCTATAATATTGTGCCCTAATTTTCTTTTCTTCTGGTGAATAATAGGATATGAAATATTAATGTATATTTAAAATCCCCCCATCAAGCCCTAACCCAGATTCTATATGGGGGGTTCTGCACATCGTCATATAAAAACATATTAGATGAAACATGTTCATGGCTAACAGAGGTCCCCCAGCATCTTTATGCCCTTTAAGAGGCTGTAATTTATATGAAGCATAATGATATGAACTAATGACCATTTACTTCTGCACAATAAAAACCTTTGCGTTTCCACATACTTGAAAAATCTGAGATACAATTTGCATTTAAACCGCAACAAGGCTTGAGGTTTCATTTTTATTGTAGGCTCATTAAATAAATGAACCTCAAACAATTCTTCAGTGTCTTTCGTGTTGTTAGTGGTTGTTTTTGCAGAAAAACCTCAGATAAGCTTACAGTTGATAGGAGCACATCACTCTGAACTATACATCAAGACTTGCAAGATGCACGCTACCGCTGATTTACTAAGCTTCTTTATGAGTTGGGAAGTCTGTTATTTAGAGCTCTCTGACAAACTGATTTTAAAAAAGCTAAGCAATGAATTTCAGAAATATGACTCGACCTATTTCTGTCCAGATAAGATCCAGCCACAGGATATCAAGTAGAAGAGATCAATCAGACACTCAACTCGTTACGGGCAAAATCCCACCCCAGCTCTGCAGGGGTGGAGACTGAGAGCCCACGAAATGGGAACGTTGCATTGCCAGTATTCGAGAGGGAGGCAGGATTTGGAAGTTATGAGGGTTGTGCAATTCTTCTGCACCGAAGAGAGCTATTCTGCAACGGGGACTGCACCAGTGGGAGCCTACGTTTCACTGTCAGCATTGCTACCTCTTGGAAGTTTAGCCATCTTTCGTGCTTTTCCTAGATTCCCCACTCATGGGGGCAAATGATGACGAGATGATGCCAGCTTTTATTTTTTTTAAAGTTTCTAGCCCTGATATTTCGAGAGGAAAGCTGGAAAGCAGGGCCGAGTGTATTGTACAGCCTTGGATACAAGAAAGGCAAATCAAAAGCCCCCAACAAATATATTTTTACTGGGGAAGATTTTTGAGCAATAAACTTGGTACGTTTAGACTTGACTCATGTTTTTTGTATCGTTGTAGTTGACAATACTATAACTAACAAACATTTAAAATGCATTTCCTTTTACAATTTCACATAAGCCCCTTCCCCTCTCTCCCTCCCTTGCAGCTTGGTAAAACACTTATCCCTTACTTCTTTTCAAAATCCCTCAACCCCCTAACCCATTTTCCTTAAAAAAAAAACCAAACCAAACCCCTCCTGCCCACAACCAACAGCTATATTTTGGGCTTACATTCTTGACAGTGCCCTTTATAGCTCAGCTATCATAAATCCTAGGCTGTTAAGACATAGGAACTAATCCTTAACTGTGACCAAGCCTGAGTGTAGCTGAAGTCTAGGAGTGGAAGAGTGGCTTAAAGCCGGCTTTCCATCTTTCTTTCTGTGGTGGTGATCCCTGAAGGCAGGGTGGCCAACCTGCAGCACAGGTGCCACAAGTGGCATGAGCAGCCACTGTGCGTAGCATGCAGCATATTGGGGAGGAGACAGGCAGCGCAGCAGCAAATAAGGCAGGGGGGAGAAAGCAAAGCAGCAGATCTGGCACGGGAAAGGGATTGCAGTGGTACCCGGGGAGTATGCAGAGGTGATTTGTGGCACACCTGCCAAAAAGTTTGCCACCCCCTGCCATAAGGAGTGAAATCTTACAATGCTTGCATATCAGGAGATCCCGGGTGAAAAGACCTACTGTTCTTTCAGCTGCTTTGCACCATTGCAGGCTCAAAGCTGTCAGAATTGGTTAGATGCTCTCAGTGTTTCTTTAATAACCGCTCTCCAAGTTCAACAATGTTATGTTGAAAGGTGCTAAAGGCTACCACAGTGTGGGGGTTTTAGAGAATCGCAGACCGTATGAAAGCCAATGCATACGCTCAGAGCTTTCCCGCTGTTCAACCAAAGTAGGAAGTAAGCCCATTTTTTTGTAGCAAAAAAGCAAGCAAGCAAACTGCAGACAATGGAGAGATAAGGTCAGGGCTAAGTGGACTGAGGTGTTTCCCTGGTTGCAAATGCAGAGGCTAAGGCATTGGTTGCAGGCTGCGCAGGTCAGATAAAGCCAACAGAAGAGATAAGTGCGACCCCAAGAGGAAGCAGAGGAACAGAAAAGTCACTGGAGTGGTGGGCTTGGGAATTTTTGAGCAAGGAAACTCCCTGGTGTTTGGCTTTCTGTGCTCAGGGAAACATGATTTAGTGTAATCTTGTTTTTCCCCTCCACCAAAAGCAATTTAATACCTGACTCTTAAATTAATGCCTTTAAGGCCAGGTACAGTTATTACACTTTTACCAGCATAAGTGACCGGAAACCAGCCTACGCCCATGACAGAGCAGAAGCATGGCACGCAAAACCAGTCTATACCCAGAAGAGAACAGAAGTTCGGCACATGTAGACTAGTTTCAAAATGGTGGAACTGGTCTAAGATTTGGCCTTCCCCACCAAAGCGGGGTTGGGCGTGTGTCCTGTTTGCTACTGACCTAAACTACACCACTAACACAAAACCAAGCAACTTGGATAGATTCCACCTTGAGCTTTTTGAATGTCTGTACCCAGCCAAAAAGTCCAAAGACTAACTAAAAGTTTGGGTCCATGAGATAAACTTATATAGATCTTCACCCATGTGCTAACTCATTCTCAAATGAAACAAATTTGATTCAGTCACATACCAAGTCTACACGCCAGGCATCACATATAAAGGGCAGGGAAGAATGTGACCCCCTGATTCTTTGGCGCCCAGGATCTCCTAAGATATATTCCCTATAGGAATTTAAATTGTTCCAACATCATGAAATATTATTTCTAATGTAATGTTAACGGGGAGCAAGGCCACTTGATGGAAACTAAATTAAAATCGCATTTGAATGCGAGGTACATTATGAAAAAGCTGCTCGTGGTCACAAGCCAGAGGAATTAGTTATATTGAAATTTCACACATTTACATTTAAATGTTATCCGCCCCATCACCCAAGTCAAATGCCATAATGGGAAACAGAACACACATCGGCTCTTCTCCGTGATTACAATGCACAAAGGGGAACAAGTCAGCCCAGCTTTGTTTAAGGTTCTCATAATTTAACCCAGCTGTAACCAAAACAGGAAGATATAAATAGACTGCCTTGATTTTCAGGCATTGATATGCCTCTCAGGAGTGGCAGAAACCACGCGAAGCCAGGAGAACTACAAGCGTCCCAAAGTCTTCCAAGACTCTGACTCTTTAAAGTTCCTTCCAAGATCTATAGCTCACTTAACCCACCTGCTCACACATCTACCCCTCTCTTCCCTCCTCTTTCTTTACATTAAAGACTTGTTTGTAATGAAATTATATTCATCCTGGGCAGATCTGAGGGACGGCAAAGCGAGTTTGGGGGATTTTGATGGGTTCTTCAGTTTGGGGACACTGAGGCACCTGCTGCCCTGTATTGTTTTCATAAATATTTAGCATTAGTATCCCAGAGTAATGGGCAGCTATATTTTAAATTGTAAGATCAATTCTGTGCTGAATCAGGAGTTTGGAATTACTCAGGTGAGATGCCAAATGTGCTTTTCCACGTGCCTCAGGGGGCACTGGAAAGGATTCACAGAGTTTCAGGTAAGCAGACAGGACCAATCCAGAAACCTGCCCATCCTTTGCTTTCATGCTCTCATAAAAAATGGCAGTGTCACATCCTCTGTGTGGTAGAGAGCGGTAGCTAGTTTAGTCTGAAGTCAAGTGGAAGGCAGGACAAAGGGGCGCTTTAGGCTAAGTTCAGACATTTAAAAAGCCCAAGATGGAACCAATCTAAGTTACGCTGTTTTCTATAAGCATCACAGTTTAGATCAGTAGAGACCGACTGGTTCAGAGTTAGGGCCAGCAAAGATTCTGCTGACTCAGCCAGAATTTCCTCTGGGCATCTTGCTGCAGTGTG